CTATAATTTCTTCAAAAAATTTAAAGTTTTTTTTTCTGTCGAAAATGTTATTTCTCAATATTGATTAAAAATATGGTAATTTTATTCAACTTATTACCTCTGAACATTCATCAGACGACGAGTTAGATACGTCTTCATCTTCAGAAGACTCGCCCACTTTTGGAGCTAGAAATATACAAAAGCGTACTAATGTTCAATTATCTCACGAATCATATTTTTTATTCATTTATAATTTATATACACTCACAAGTACTATCTTTAACACCTTTATATGCTTTAACTCTACACGACACACACAAAACGTCTTGAGGTGTCAAATAGATTTTTTTCAGTATTTCAGCAGGAACACGACGTAAATTTTTTCGTTGTTTAGATCCGCCATGCTGTTTTTTGTTGAGCGGATTACAACACATATAAAAAGATGGCACACTCGACATTTCACTTGAAATTTGTTAGAAACCTCTTATCAGAGATGAAAACAAACCTGCGATTGCGGAGTAATAAACAATTTTAATAAATCAAGTGAAGCGCATGCCTGTGCGCTGAAACTTTATGTACGCAGGTATGAAAAACTCGTAACGTCTACAGTTTTGGTGTTACCATTCTCAAATTGTTACAGCGTACTCCATAAAGTCTGGCAACTATTTAAGTTGAAAATAATAAAAATCATGATGAAGATAATAAAAATAAATAAAAAATTAAAAAATGCATTTTTTTAATGCAAATTTTTTTTATTTTAATCTGTCTCACACACTCATGGAAAGCCAAGGTAATTACGCATATTTTGATACCTTAACTGATTTCCTCGGTTTATTAACTGTAACAATTGAAAAAATATACTTCTCCGTGAGTTCAAAATTTCGGGAATTTTTTTCTCGAGATTTTGGAATATCATGTCGAAATAAAAAAATAGGTGTCTTCTTTTTTTCGATAAGGAATGTAAAAAAATGTTTCATCCCAAAAAAAATATTGAGGTGTAAATATTGTATGGAATGACCCATATATACTTTCACGAATTTCAAATTTTATTAAGAATTTTTGTAAACTTTTTGGATATGCATTTTTGTAGCCTATTCAATTTTAGTATAATAATGTGCAAGTTTGAATTAGAAGTCAACGGTAGTAGGCTACACGTAAAGTTGAATAGGTTACAAAACTGCATACCCAAAAGGTTTCTAAAAATTCTACATTTTCGTGAGCTTTGCGTAAAGTTGTATGGCCTTATTCATACAAAATAAAAAAGGGTTATAAACCGGAAAATGTAAGAAAATGTCATTTTATTAAGCTCTTTAGACCTACTTTATGTTTTATGAATAAGGCCATTAAACTTTAACCTATTTGGTTTATGTTATGCAACAGACTACACGAAATTTCAGTTACTGTGGACAAAATTTAATGATAGTAATCCATATAAGCAAAGAAAATTGGGTTGCCAATTGAAGTAAAAATTTAAAGTGTGTTTTTTAAAAAGTTTTAGATACTACGAGTACTTTGCAAAGTATCGAGTAAAATCGCCAAATGAGGTATCGAGTATTAAAGTACTCATTTGTATATCCTCAGTATCGATACTTACTCAATATCGATAGTATCGTTCGAACCCTACTCATATGTGATTTTGTCGTGGTAGCGTAGAGATGATTAGCGAAGACGCGGATGATGCCATTGCAATGCTTTTAACTTAAACTTTTTATGTATGTGTTATTTAAATTTATTTATATTTTACTTGTATGTATGTACATACATATACTTATAGTAATTTAGCCTCATTTATCAAAAATTCAATTAACCAACATGGCTTGGATGCATTTATCAGCCGATGTGCACACTTCAAGCATCAACACAAAACGAGGTTGTTGTTTTTGTTTCCGATGCGATGCTCGCAAACCACGCTACAAACGACGAGCATGCTCGCTGAAAATCAAAATATGTAATGGCTGACAGACAGCGTTGCCGCAAACTTGAAAAAAGTCAAGGTCGTGAACCGGATGAAAAATTTGGTCGGTTCGGTTCAGTGGTTCGAACCGTTTTTGCGCTTTTGGATTGGTTCATCAAATCGGTTTTTTTGGTCTTTGAACCGGGGTTTCGGTTCGGTTCAAAGGTTCGAAAAACAAAAAAGTAACACGCAAGTTTATGTGTCAAGTGTCAAGTGCAACAACGCGCAAGGTTAAGGGTAAGGGTTGATATTGTCACATGGTAAACAAACATGGTAGGTATTACCATGTTTAACAAAAAGAAAAAAGTGGGTACATTTATCTATTGAAAATTGGTTGCAACGAACCTTTAAACTTTTATAGAAAGTGGTTCGGTTAATGGCTCAGTTAATTAATAGAAAAAAGCGGTTTTCCGGTTCAAAAGCGGTTCGGTACAAAACCGGTTCACGTCCCTGAAAAAAGTATCAGTTGCCAGGCAAAAGTATCAACAAGTATCAAAACCAAACACAACTGGTATTTTTTTAGCTTTTATTTGAAAAAAAAAACAAACATTAAATACAATTTTATATTACTTGCTTTAACAAGAACAGAGAATCTGTATGCTTATTTGCATAACGAAAAACAAACTTATAGGGCCCCTAGATCACACAAAATAATTGCGCAACCCGACACTTTTGCGTTGTATATCTTGGTAGCTTCAGTCTTAAAACGCAAAAAAGAATATTAAAATCTTTTTGTATTTCTTTCTACGCCCTTGTCCATATTTTACAGCACGATCTGGACACCAAAATCAAAACTAAACTAAAAATTGCGCAGTTGTCGCCATACGCAACACAAATTATTGTACAATAATACAAGCATGAGCAAAATATCAAAGTTTGTTTGATTTTAGCGCAATAACTGCAATTTAGTACAAACAACCTCATACACCACACAAACGACCGACGCAAGCCCGATATTGCGCAATGTTTAAGTGTGGTTTAGAGGTCCTATAACTGCGGCGTGTGCAACGAAATTCCGGGTTGTATTTCCCTTATAATAGTTACCAAATCAAACTTATAAATATCTAAATATAAAATTGTAAGGCTTTGAATAACAAGAAAAAATTGTTTGCCTTTAAACTAGTAAACTAGCACACAAACGCGCATAATAATTTTGTCCTGACAGACGGCAGTATTGCGGATTAACGAGCCGCAGGGTCGTGGGTTCGAATCCTACGGCAAGTAGAATTTTCATTTATTTCGTTTTTATTAATTTGTCAATCTTTATTGTGGCGTAGTTCTTCATATTTATTTCAATAGTGTTATCGAGCTTTGTACCATGATTTATTTGTTAGGAAAAATGGAAAAAAACAACAATGCTTAAGCGGTAGAAGTTATAGCAGCAATTTCGGAGATCAGCAACATCTCTTCATCAGACTTCTTTTTTTCTAGACTTTCAGCAGTAATCGAACCCGCGTCATCGATGTGCAAAGTCAGAAGGGCTAACCACTGAGCTATGCACATCCCGTAAGCTTTTGTCGCTAATCCATTTTCCTTATTCAACCTACTACTATCAAGTGCAGCTGATTCCCTGCTATTAAACTATGCAATGAATCCATTTCATGTATGGAATTAACAATAACAACCACGCTGTCAAGCTTTAATAGCAGCGAATCAGCTGCGCTTGATAATAGTAGGTTGAATAAGGAAAATGGATTAGCAGCAAAAGCTTACGAGGTGTGCATACGAGGTTAGCGCTTCTGACTTTGCACATCGATGACGCGGGTTCGATCCCTGCTGAAAGTCTAGAAAAAAAGAAGTCTGATGAGGAGATGTGGTGATCGCCGAAATAGCTGCTATAACTTTTACCGCTTAAGCATTGTTGTTTTTTCCGTTTTTAATAATTTTTTTAGCGGTGCGTTCAGTTAGTTGTTGTTGACATAATAAAAACAAGATTTTTTTTTTGTAATCGCTCCAACCTAGGATCGAACCTGGCAGCTACAGGCTTGTAGCACGCAACTCTCACCACTCGGCTACCATCGGGATTCTAAGAACGTTGGTAATGCAGTCAAAATATTCAGCAAATCAGCTATAAAGATTTGTTGATATTTATGACACCAGTAGTGTTGTTCCGATACCACCTTGTACTCGATACCTGTACTCTTTAAAAATATTGAAGAAAATTATCGATGCCACAAATGTATCGGAGAGAAGTACTCGATACTTACTCATATCGAACTCATTGTAAATACTTATGTCATGTGAAGAAAAGCAGAATCGGTTCGAGTACTCTCCGGCCAAAACTTACCGAAAAAGTAGCCACAAATTTGTATCTTGCCAATTTTTAATAACTGACTAGTACGGGAAAGCAGAAATTTAAACTTTCTTTATTAGCCAACTTAACGTGGTGCCAAAACCACAACAGCATGATTCGTATATTGTCAGAACCGAAATTCAGAATTTTTGGAAAAGCAAGTAATACTTTAATCACGTACTCGATACCCACCTAAGTACTTGCGGGAAGGATTGGAGTGCAAAAAGTACTCAGTACTTGAGGAAAGTATCGAGTAAATACTTGTAGTTACTCGTATCGGAACAACACTAGATACCAGCGCAGATTAGACCTGTAAATAGCTTAATCATGTTTTAACGAATGTAGCTATTTACAAGCTTTTTTAAATGTTTGCTGGTGGGGATGTGTGTGGTTTAAGTGTTTTTAGTACAGCTGATATCGATAAATTTCCGATAAAAATTAAAGAAGACAACGATTTGTTCATGATTCGCATGGTGATTCGATTTCAAAATTTCAAACCGCATTACGTGATTCGATTCGTAATTGGGCCGCCAATTACGAATGAGAGAGCGAATCACCTGCGTGGAAACATCACAGGAAATTATCTGACGACTATTTCTAATGATTTATGGGACCAACCGAAAATTTAACGGCGTGCATAAAAAGCTATGTAAGTCAATTTAAAATTTTTGTCCTACGTGATTTGACGTTTTCGCTCAAAATTCTCTCGCCTATTTTGAGTATGCGCAGGATGAAATTATAATATCAATAACAAGTAGCAAAAAAATACAGTACCTGTGGTAGAATCGGTAACTGGGCTTATGCTGGTGGTAACAGCAGTACTAGAATCATATTTTGTTCCCTCGTCTGCAAAAACCGTATTAGTATGTTTGGGATACGATTATATTACATTATCATGTGTATTTATCCACAGTACCTTTGGTAGAGTCGGTGATTGAGCTTTCGCTGGTGGTAACAGCAGTACTAGAATCATATATTGTTCCCTCGGCTGAAAAAACAGTATTAATTGTTTAGGTTAAGATTATAATAACATCATATACGTATGTATATAATATATGTGTGTATTTCAATATCATATCTCATTATAAGCGTGGTGTTTAGGTTAAGATTATAATAACATCATATACGTATGTATATAATATATGTGTGTATTTCAATATCATATCTCATTATAAGCGTGGCTTTCAGATTTTTAATACAGAATTTTGAAATACATAATTTCGCAGTACAGAATTTCAATAAGAAGAGTTTTGCAATAAAGAAGTTGAATAACTAGAATTTGGAATACAAATTATCTTTGCAGTAGATTCTCGAAAAAGTTAACCGAAATATTTCAAGGGTAATTAACTTTTTCGAATTAACTTTCCTAAGCGCTTTTCAAATTTTAAAAATTTAGCAATAAAAAAATATATAATAATAACCCGCTAAATTTGTTTCAATGACTTACAGCCGCACTCAGAGTCGTTTAATGATTACTTAAGGTGTCCCTCAGTAACGATTTGAAAAAATTCCCTCTCAGAGTCAGTTAAATACTCGTTAACGGCATTTAATGAACATTAAAGTTAAGTAAACAAAAACCTTTACTTAACTTTTTAACGAATGATTTTGAAATTTTTTGTTTGTTTTCAATAAATTTCAATTTCGATAACGTTGCTGTGACAGTTGCAATGGCCCAGTGAGCAGAGCACATTCGTGCTATTCGAGAGATCCGAGTT